TCACAATCTCTGCTGTAAAAGGTTGCTTATTACAAAGGTTGTAAAGGAAAATATGTTTTGTTTGCAACTTTTTTTTCTTGCAAAGGACTGACCATAAAGAATTGTCCATTTTTACTTCATTTTTTAAAGAAAACTCCTGCGTTAAAATCTAAAGCTTAGTAAAATATTTTCTTTGCTATACAGACATGCTGTTGTTTATTGTAATACTTGATCAATTGGCATACATTTTCCAACTCTGGATTTATGCATTGCTGTATAGCCACAGACACTTAATTTTTATGTCTTCATTTTAATACTATTTTGGCTAATAAATGTGGTGAAGGTATAAATGGGTTATCACAATGCCTTGAATTAATCTTGTTTCTGGATTCCTCCTCATGTCTGTTTTAACAATGCTCATATGTTTGCCTTCAATACAAATGGCTGAAGTCTTTCATAGCCCAGGTAGTTAGTCTGGCCTCTGACATTAAATAGAACCCCCAACTAAAAAGCCGGGCATCCTGGATGATAGGAGAGACCACAGGAGCCTTTGATAAAGCTTTTCACCACTAGTAAAGACTATATTTGTAACCATTGTGTTCTGAGAAAGGGCATAGTCATTGTTTTTAAATCTTCTGTTTAATTTTTACAACCTTCTACATTAGGTATTGTGTCTTGGGGTTTTATTTGGCAGGGGCACTGGAGATTTAAGAAAGAGCCAAATTAATATGTATGTGGCAAAACTGGTGCTCAGGCATACTCCACATTGGAGTTCTTTTCATTCTAACCTTGGTTCATGGATCTTAGTCTCAGTATATACTGGCCACGTGACCTTGGAAAGTATCTTGTTCTCTCTGATTTTCAGCTCTCACGTCAGGGAAATGAGGGAATTGACAATGGATGCCTCTGCGGCAGACTGGGAACCTAAGTCAGGACAAGCTTTTCTGAATATCTTCAATTTTTTTCCCCTATGCCTCCTTTGGTTCTTGAATTTTTCCAGAATTTTTTATTTTTCTAATTAGTAAAAATATTTGGCTGGACTAAATTCAATCCAACCTATATCTAGTGAGTCTCTAGTAGGGATCAGGAACCATGATGGGTGCTGAAAACAATCAGTGTCTGAATCCAAATTCTAGGGAAGTATATGCTTCTTTTTAGATAAAGTTTGTTGAGAGCTTATTGTGGCTCAACTGTTCTAAACACCTTACATATGTAACCCATTTAGTCCTCATAATAATGCTTCGAAAGGGGAACCCTTATGGTTCCTATCATGCAGCTGAGGAAACTGACATACAAAGAGGCTGGGTTACTTGTTATGAAAGTTCACAGAGAGTCAGTTCTGGTTGGGTTCCCTTGCTAATGGGGCAACTTGTCAACTGGAACTTGAAAGATGGTTAATATGGGGACAAAGACAAAAATTTTCCAGCCAGAGAAAGAGACATGACCATAGAATAAAGATGAGATGGGATGAGATATTTATCTGAAAGTGAGCAGAAGTTTCCCTTCCTGTGAATTTTTTTTTCATCTACAGGGATTGGTAGGTCATTGGTCAACAAAGTTGTTTGACATGGTGGAGTGCAGGCTTTGGGAGCAAATCCCAGTGCAACCCCTTGAGTGTAAATTCCCTCATTTGTAACAGAGTAGAGATGCAATGATGAGCATCTTCAGCAAGGAGAGAGGATAGGAGTTCAGACCTCTCCCAGCAGAAGGAGGGGGGTAGATAGCACTGAGGAAGTGCTATCTACAGTTTGGTAGTGGTTTGGTAGGGGATGAAGAGTGGAAGAGAAAAGAAGAAAGGAATAGAGTTGAAGTATTGTTTCAGCATAAATTGATAAGGCAGGATCAGTGAAAAAGGAAAGGATGAGACAGAAACTCTGATGAAGTTGGAGAGAGAAGATGAAGAACATGAAGTCAGAGACAAATGTATGGTTTCAAACTGGGTGGCTCAAATATTGATACAGAGTAAGATTAGGTTGGTAACCCCTTGTAAGACATCTTGTGTTCTGCAAGGGGAGTTGATGAGTGCACCAAAGACTGGGATGTAAAAGACAGGTGATAACTCTAGGCAGAACCTTGGGAAGCATCCATCCTAGTGAGGCAGGGGGACCACACATACAGCTCAGAGGAGAGGTGGGACAAGAACACATGTACTTTGAAAGTCAGGAAAGGAAATGCTTTGAGAATGGCGAGAGGTTGAGAGTGTAAATGACACAGAGATATCTGGGAGGGTGAAGACTGAAAACAAGTTCTTGGAATCAGTATGTAGGATATGATGGTGTTCTTTCAGTGGACTGTTTTAGCAATAACAGAGGTCTTGGCTGGGGAGCACACAATGAGAACAGTGAGGTCAGGAGCCAGTTGATGGGGAGGGAAATGGATAAACCATCCTCATAGAGACAAGAAGGAATGGCTCATTCCTAAATGTAAGAGATATTCATAGGAAGATGGAGTCCCAGAAGAATAGAGGACTGGGACCTTCAATCTGAAAGGTGTTATAGAACTTGCAGAATAGTCTGAAATGCAATACTGGGGAGGAAAAATGAAATTGTAGAGGGAAGCCCTGGGAGGCAAAGGTGGTGTATCTCAAAACCCTAAGGGATTGGAAAGCCAAATGGGTTTTGTCCATCCATGTTCTGCAGGGTGGCCTAGAGACTGCCTGTACCTCCATGTTACATTTCTCTACTTCCATTGTTGGTCTTGTTTCTTTGTAATATGAAAGCATCATTGAGGTCTTCATGGACTCAGTAACTGGGGCTATTCATGCACTTCCCATTTTTTTTCTTTACCATTTCAAGAATTAATAATGGGATCAAGGAGACCTTAAAAGGATGCCAAATCAAAGATGGTGTTGGTAAATCAGCAAAGACCCCTCCAAGATTCAAACCAGTCAGGTGTGGCATGAGACCTGATCTTCAAATGTTCCTTAGCTCCTTTTGGTGCTGACAGGCTCAGAAAGATTCCCATTCAAGGAGGAATGTCTCTCTCAGAACGACACCATCTTGGTTTAGTGCTGTATTATTGTGTTCTTGAAATTCTTGAGAACAGCATAAGGGCTCCCGCATTTATAACCTGCCCTGTGCTCTGTAGATTTCGTAGCTGATCCTGTCCCTCATCCACACAAGGAATTCTTCTCATTTTTGGAGAACTTTCAACAGTGCCTCGAGGGGGTTCCAACCCATATCACAATGCTCCCATATCCCACAGGGGACTGCCTTACTCTTCATTTCAGAGTCTTTTTCCCCCCTCTTCTTGGAGCACACCTGGGGGGGGTGCAGCTGAGCTTCAGATCTCAGGACTCATGGGTACTTCTCTGGTTTCCTTACTGATGAGCAGGGGCAGTTTTGACAGGACACCCCTCAGTGGGATATTAAAAGGCTCTGCAAGTCCCAGATCTAAATTCCCATGGCAATGGAGAAGGGAGGGAGGGACCAGCACACCTGCTTTCTTTCATTTTTTATAGTGTGCACTCCCGCTGGTCACTGTGGGTAAGTAGTCTGAGGATGCCACAGTCTCCGGTTCCCTTTTAAAGTCCAGTCTGTACTTGACCAGGGAAGGAAGACCCACAAGTAAGCCACAGAATCCACAAAGAGTCTCCCGAAGCCGAGTTTCTTACTCCAGGGCGAGGCCTTCGAGTTCCTCACACTCAACTATTTTTTAGCTGGGCAACTGTGGGGCCCTCCAACTTCTTTGGCTTTGTTCAGAGTTCAACAGCGCCGCCTTCTGGTGCTTGGTTGGGAGTGCCATTGCGAAGAGTTGGCGTAGGGTGTGTTTTAAAAAGTTTGCAACTCTCTGCTGGGTTTTGGACCCACCCCTCCGCATTCTTCCTAAGTGAATAAGCGGATAAGGTCGAAAGTGACGGAGTCCCATTCCCTCCTCCCAACTCTCCGTACCCTGCCCATCCACAGGCCAGCCCCTCTATGATGCCCTTTGCAGAACAAGTGGTATTTACAAGAGACTCATCAGCTGGGCTTCTTGAAGAAATTGAAAGCTCCTAAAGAGACCCAAATGGTATCCAATTGGAGTCCACAGCGCCTCCTTTCGGGAGCTTCCTGCCAACTTCGTTAGGGTGTGAGATGGACTCCCCCCTCCGCCACCTCCCTACCCGGTGAAGCTGGAGGAAAACAGACCAGACTAACGCGTTTCCCTACAAGCCCGCCCCCTCAGGACTCTTTGGGAATTCGCCTGCACCACTTCTGATAGAATTTCAGAGCCCTGACAGTGTTCGTGTGACTTTCCCACAGTAAGAGATGGGGTCAGACCTTGGCAACACATACCCAGGAACTAGCGAGTCCCTGGCTAGTTGTGAGCTAGGAGAAGTGGGCCGTTGGGGGTGCTGGTGTTAAGTCACTCCACTCCGCTTCGCCCCGTAGTAGCCCCCAGCCAAATCCACTGTCCTCTGGGACCAGGCGCCCTGGTGTTGGGTATAGTTGTCCTTTCTAGCAATCGAATCTTTGTGGAAATCCATGCTCCCCACCCTCGGTCAAATGTCCTCTTTATGCCGGGCACTCTGCCAAGAATTCTGCAGGTGTTAGGCACCATCCACACTCTACACTCCTTTCAAAACTCTCTTTTCCCTCATTTCTTGTTCCCAGAGCCCCCCGCAATCCAGGATTTCCTTGAAATCGGTATTAACATTTGGGGAGGGGGGCTTAGAAAAGAGGATCAAGATCAAGAGTTTAAGGAGGGAGTGCACCGGAAGGGAGGAGAGTGCGGTGGCGAGTGGTCGGGGCGGGACCTGTTGTCTTGCGGACAGGAGTGCTGTTCTTCCTAGGCGCCCGCCCCTGCCAGCCCCGCCCGAGGACTTCCCTAAGCCGGCGGCCGGGTTTACTCATCCCAGCGAGGTGATCCCAGGCGCGAGGGCGGGCGCAAGGCGTCCGGAGAACCCAGTAATCCGAGAATGCAAACCAGCCCTTCCCACCAAGCACTTCCTTCCTTTTCCCGAACGTCCAGGGAGGGAGGGCCGCGCATTTATAAACTCGGGCCTCAGCCGACTAGTATGTCAGAGACTGCCACGCCGGGGCTGAGCGCCGCTGTGAGAAGCGTCTGAGCTGAGACCCAAGCTAGCGGCCGTCGCCAGCAGCGCCCGGTGCCTCTCCCCACCCACCGCCAGGTCCTAGCCCGTTCCCAACGTCCGCACTTTTCCCGGCGCCTGCACGCAACACCCTTGGACAGCATGCTAGGGGTCTTCCTTCTGAGTGTGTTGGCCCCGGCGGGCCTGGGGCTTCCCACACCAGCAGAGCCGCTGCTCAGTAGCAGTCAGTGCGTCGAGCACGATTGTTTCGCGATTTTCCCGGGCCCCGTGACCTTCTTTGCTGCCAAACAGGCCTGCGAACGCCTACGAGGACATCTGATGACCGTGCGCTCCTCTGTGGCTGCCGATGTCATCTCCCTGCTACTGAGTGACGATGAGAGCGTCGGCCCGCGTATTTGGATCGGTTTGGTGCTCCATCAGGGCTGTGTCGACCCGGAGCAACTCGGGCCCCTACGCGGCTTCCAGTGGGTTACAGGAGACAATCGCACCAGCTATAGCAGGTGGGCGCGGCTTGACCGTGTTGGGGCGCCCCTCTGCGGCCAGCTGTGCGTCACTGTCACGGCAGTGGCAGCCTCAGCGCCTGGAGAACCGGTCTGGGAGGAGCAACAATGCAACCAGGAGGCCGACGGCTTCCTTTGTGAGTTCCCCTTTGCAGCGTCCTGCAGACCCGTGGCGGTGGACCCCAGCGCCGCTGTTGCTGTTCATGTCCCAAGCACCTACAGCACCCCGTTTGGGGCCCACGGCAGGGACTTTCAGGCACTGCCAGTGGGCACCTCCGCTGTGGTGGAGAAACTAGGCTTGGAGCTAATGTGCATGGTGCCTCCTGGAGCTATAGAGGCGCGCTGGGGTCGGGAGGCGCCCGGTGCCTGGGACTGCAACGTGGAGAATGGAGGCTGTGAGCACGCGTGCAACCGGAGCGCTGTGACGCCCAGCTGCCTCTGCCCAGGTGACGCCGTTCTGCAGGCAGACGAGCGCTCCTGCGCAGCACCCACAGTGCAGTCGTGCAACCATTTATGTGAGCACTTCTGCGTTAACAACTCCGAAGTGCCAGGCTCCTATGTGTGTATGTGCGAGACTGGCTACCAACTGGCCGCGGACCAGCACCGGTGCGAGGACGTGGACGATTGTATGATGGTCCCAAATCTGTGCCCGCAACGGTGTGTCAACACGAAGGGTGGCTTTGAGTGCCAATGCTATCCTGGCTATGAACTGGTAGACGGCGAATGCGTGGAGCTGCTGGATCCCTGTTTCGCCGCTAACTGCGAGTACCAGTGTCAGCCGGTGAGTCAAACAGAGTACCGTTGCATTTGTGCTGAGGGCTTCGCACCCAACCCCCAAGATACGCACAGGTGCCAGATGTTCTGCAATGAGACTGCATGCCCCGCAGACTGTGACCCCAACACCCCAGACAGTTGCCAGTGTCCAGAAGGCTACATCCTGGACGACGGTTTCATGTGCACTGACATAGATGAGTGCGACAATGAATATTGTCCTTATGAATGCCGCAACCTCCCGGGCAGCTATGAGTGCATCTGTGGGCCCAACTCCGATCTTGCCGTCTCCGTTGGCACAGACTGTGACGCTACCAGGGTGCCCAGCATTGACGACAAGGAAGATGGCTCTGGAGAGCTCCCAATCAGCCCGTCGCCGGACTCCACCTCAAGTTCTCCAATCGCGGGGCCTGTGCATTCGGGCGTGCTCATTGGCATATCCATTGCAAGCCTGTCTCTGGTGGTGGCGCTTTTGGCACTCCTATGCCACCTGCGCAAAAAGCAGGGTGCTGCGCCAGCAGAACTGCAGTATAAGTGCGGCTCACCTGCCAAGGAGGTGGTGCTGCAGCACGTGAGAACTGATCGGACACTGCAGAAACTCTGAGGGCCCTCCCTCCAGGGACCTGGGTATTAGCGTGCCTATTTCTCCTTCCTGTGCCTTTCTCCTTGGCTACCCAGAAGCACCCTAGCTTGCTTGACACCTGGAGAAGTTCCTCCCCCATCCTCCCATACTGTAGTTGGGCAGGAAAGGATTGGAAGGAGGGGAGCCCCAGTCTCTTCCAAGAACACCACAGGAAAACTGGGCAGAGATGTCAAATTTACATCAAGACACAGACTGCAAAGTGTCCCAGGACCTTACCATGGGGGGACAGGAAGGGTGAGCCTTACTGGTCTGTAGCCTTGGGGGCTGACTTGTGAGATAGTGAGGACCAGTATATTTATTATTATTTTAAAATATTTAGGCTTTCCCCCATTCCTTTGCTTTTCCCCCCTACCTGTATTTCTCCAATACAAACTTTATGTGTATGTGACTTTCCCACTTACTTTTTCTCCTCCCTTCTTTTTTTTCCCCCTCTCTCTCTTCCTCCCTACCTCTCTCTGGCCTTACTTCTTTGCTGTTAGCTGTTCATCGAGGCAGACATTCTACATGAAACAGAAACAAAAACACAAAGCCCAAAACGGTGCAGTATTTTCTTTTTCATCAGCTTTGATAATTATCCCAGAATTTTAGGCTTCCAGAGCACAATAATTTTAACAAAGGTTAAAGAGTGAGAGGCGATAATCAAATTAATATCATGGGACTATCATAGAAATTCAACCCAAGGAGTTTTTATCTTCATTTTTAAAAAGTGAGCCTGAGTTTCATTGTTGTTGTTGATTTGACTCGGACTGAAAAATAGTAATTGTTGTTAAGATAATTAGGCACTTTTCTTCAGAACTGTAGTTGTTATCATCATAATTGTTATTAATTTTTGACAGTGTGGAAAAAATTCAGATGCTTGCCTTAAATTGAGAGAAATACCTCCCAAGGGATAGTTTAAGAAAACTCATGCTTCATGCTAATTTGACTCTCAATTTCTCTTGTTACTTGTAGTAAAAAATAAAAGCAGCTGTACTGGTTTTAGGGAGATTGGGTGCTTGCAAATGGAGCCTGAGTGATGCCGTTTTAGTCAACTTTGTGTTCTTGTGACCAAGATACCTGATAAGAACAAATTAGAGGAGGGGAATTTTATTTGGGGCTCTGTATTTGGAGGTCTAAGTTCATAGATGGCTGACTTCATTGCTCTGGGCTCAAGATGAGGTAGAACATCATGGTGGGGGAAAGTCCAGTGGAGGAAAGCAGCTCAGCTTCTGGAGGGGTCAGGAAGCAGAGAGAAAAATGGAAGGGGCCACAGAAAGACACATCATTCCAGGGCATACTCCTAGTCATCCATCTCCTTCATCCAGGACTCAACTGCCTCCAGTTACTACCCAGTCCTTTCAAACTAGTAGGGACTGATTAGAGTACAACTCTCACAATCCAATCATTTCACCTATGAACGCTGCATTGTGAAGACACCTCATATCCAAACCATAACAATGTCCAGTTAGGGTCTCACCTTATGAGGCACTTGGAGAATGTCTCCCATTTCAGAGGGACCTCCTAACCCTAGCCACTGGAATATGGTCTTGGGACAAGAATTGGGCCTCCCATGGAAGCTCCTTAGATAGTGACAGTTCTAGGCTCCATCCCACCTAGTTCATGAGAAATGCATTTTAACAATATCTGCAAGGGGTTATCTGCTCAGTCACTTGAGGAAAATAGTTCTAGAAAATTAAATATGGGTCAGTAATAAGTAGCAGGCCAAGTCAGGCCCTTTATTTTTAAGAAACTGAGGAATTTTCATTGTATAGCTTTGCTTTCTGGTAGAAAAGACTAGGTACAACCTCTAGACATTGCCACACAGGGTCAAGAAGGTCTTTGGTTGAACTAAGCTAGGCATGGAATCATGCTTCAATGGTTGGGGACAAAAATGTATCATGTGTGAGTGTATCATATGTAAGGCAAAGGTTTTTCTCTACTGTTTTGTGAACTCAGCACATTTGTACATAGTTATTTATTTATTGGAGTTAAACTAGAACACAGGCAAAACCCTTGCTTATGATCATACTTGTACAAAATAAACAAATTAAAGAAATTACAGTGTACTCTTGGGTTGTTTCTCTCTTCACCTTTCTTCCCCCATCTCCTTGTTTTATGTCATTAAATGGGGCTCACAAACAATGTAAATGCCATGAAATGCATTAAAGAATGGTCTACACCCTACCATCCATGCTGCCAAGTCAAAGTACCATTTCTGACTTTCAAATATCTTTCCAGAGGAGGTTATTTTCAATGTAAGAGTTCATGTTATCTTATGTGCACAGTTTTTCTGTAACCATAACAACTTCATACACAATGTTAATATGTTTTCAATATGTTTTTAATATGTTATGTTAATATGTTTTCAAATACATTATAGGATCATATGTTGGGATGAATTAAAGGAAAATTCTTCCTTTGGCATCTCCAGAATCCTAGGGGTGTGTCCTTCTGCAATATGGTTGGCATTATCTGATCTCTGAGGTATTCAAACCCAAAGTAGTCAGAAAGGGTGTTTGACTCAAATTCAAGTAACCATTCCTTATTACCAAGGTCTCAGCCATTATTAATTCTTCCCCATTTATGTTGGATATTAAAAACACTGTCTTTATGATACAGATCTCTTGGACCCTTTTCCTAGAATGACAGAGCTGACTGAATTTTACGTGCATAGACCTGAAGGTTTTTATAAAGCAGAAATGAGAAAAATTGAGTTCAGTCAATTATTCAAATGTTTTTATACATCTAGATCATGCTGAATTGCTCAGGGTTAATCTGAGTCATTGTGGGAAGATAGTTGGAGATCTCAGTATCCATTTAAGATTCAGCTTTATTATGCCATGTGCTAGGGGGCAGCTACTACATATAGTGCCCTGTGAAGGTAGCAAGTTAAGCAATGCTTCTATTCAGGAGTTTAATAAGTCTCAATGAATGGGGCAAAGCAGTGCAGATAAATGGTGCCCTTAGTAAAAAATGGGCTGTTGAAGGAGTTTTAACAAGAGCATCTTGGGGTCCACAATTATTTGCAAAGATAACAGCTGCTTCTAGACTTATAAACATGTATCCAATGATAATAAGAAACCTGGAGTTCCTCTTGTAAGCACTCAGTAGGTCTAACAATTGAGGGGAGGATGACAGTGGGGATTTGATCTAAGCCTGACATCTAGTGGTCACATGGCTATGGGTACCACCTAACCCCTCTAAGGCTATGAATGGGGTGGTAGAGGTTTCTATGAAGAGTAGACAGGGCAAGTGAGCACAGTTTCTGGGACATAAAGGGTACCCCATAACTATTATCCATGCTCAAAGAATTAGTAGGTGGGCAAGTGAATAAAGAAATAAAGTGGTGTTGGAATCTCAAGTGTCAAATCCAAGGTTGTGTAGAAAGCATAAAGTGTTCTTTCAAGGCAAGATGCAGTCACTTACAAGGGATGCTGTCATCCTAGAGAAATAGTAATGGTGGGATTTGGGGTATCAATCACAACTTAAGGAGGGAGATATTTGTGTTGGGTGAGAAGTAGCTGTAAAATCTAGCGTAGAAGGCTCTAGTCTGTACTCTCTGTTAATATGACCAGTCAAAAACAGGGATGGAGAGTTTCCTCCATTGTCCTCCCAAGGAGATCAGAGAGAAGGGCAGAACACCTCCAAAGTGTTCTTCCCACTTGCTCAAGGACCAAAGGAGAGACTGGTGCCAGCCCAGACAGAACTCAGGTCTCTTGTCTGGAGCTGTGAAAGGGGGCCCTAGTGTGTGACATTAAGGTATGGATAGGGCCAAGTGATAGAAGTCTCCAACTTTTAACTTTTGGGGCCTCCCATTATTCTTGTGCTAAGTAAGGGTGCATTATATCATCAAGGAAAACCAAGATTGCAAAGAATATAAAAGCACATTTTCATCATGGTCTTGACTTGGTGGGGAGTTCCCAAAATATATCCTGGATGCATGCAGGCATTTCTACATAAAGTAATACAGGCAACACCCAGTTCTTCTTTCTTCCTATTCCAGAATGAATGCCTGGTTTCTGGACTATCTTTTTGTATCAAGTGAGTCCTTCCTTCATTTATTCATGGTCAGCAGGTTCTAATGTAGGCAAACAATCCATTTCCTCTCCCAGGAAAAACTAAACATTGTTTTAATATCAGATTCTAAATGAATCAATATCCTTTTCAGCCTGTTTTGAAAGTGTGATTGCAAAAGACAAAAGAACCCCGGGGATCTGATCACTCAAAGTGAATTAGGGTGGGGGAGCAGACAGCAGAGGGCTTCAGTGATCTAATGAAAAGCACTAGGATTCAAAGTTGGGGTCTGTAACCATCATGCCATTTAGGCTATAGGCCAGGAGTTTCCTTGAACCTCTGCCTGCAACCTGTTGTTATAAGGGTGATGGTGTGCAAGGATTCAGAGATTTCCTGTTAAAATAGGAAATTTCAGGGCTGGGGAGATAGCTTAGTTGGTAGAGTGCTTGCCTTGCAGGCACAAGGCCCTGGGTTCTATCCCCACCACCACCATCATACACACACACACACACACACACACACACACACACACGACATTTCACAGCCATTATTATTCTGCTATAGAAATCTTCTTTTTTATATTTTCCAACCATGGCAGCATCTCTAATATTGTTCTCTTCATATCCCCCTCTGGGGTCATCCCCAACTACTAATTTACCCTGCCTTGGGAATCGTTCATCCCACTCAGTAAGGAAGAGATGGGCTTTTCAACAGCCTCCATAATTCTCCCTTCTTCCTCCAGTCTCCTGCCCTGAGAAGAGGGACTTCACCTTCCACAAAGATACTGGACATCTGAATTCTTGGGCACCATCACCCTTATAATAAGAGTCCTCTTTTTAATGCATTTGTTTGGAAATCATGATATAAACCCAAAACACCATTTGTGTGTGTGTGTGTGTGTTTCTTTGCCAAGATTTGACTCCCATCTTTCTTCTCATATTTTCACCTAAGAGGTGGTCCTGTGGAAATTAACATGTAATTCTAGAAGAAAGGAAACCCTAGGAAAGGCCTGGGGTGAGTCCTGGCTTCTTTTTTCAGTTTGTCAGCAACTCTCCAGAGCACGGTAAGCAACCATAGAAAACAAAGGTAAAACGGGAGGGGACACAAACCCAGAAGCAAGTCCTTGCCCGAATATGTGCAGGAGGTGGCAGGGCATTGTGTCACATGTTTGTAATACCAGCCACTTGAGAGGCTGAGGCAAGAGGATCCCAAGTTCAAGGCCAGCCCTAAGCAACTTAGTGAGACCCTGTTTCAAAATAAGGTTTGGGGATGTAGCTCAGTGCTTAAACCAAAAACAAAAATCTAATTTAGGAAATGAAAGCAGCATCTTCCTGAGTCAAAGGGTTGAGACTCCTCAGGCTGGTGGTAGGAGTTCAAGGAATGGTATAAT